ACAACGCCGGATGGCTTGGTTATTGGCTTGGGCGAACTTCAAGTGTTTTGACCCAAGTTTAAACTTAAGAAAAATATTTTTGAACATGTAAAAGAGATTTTTATGAATTAAGCCTAGAGAGCCAAGATTTGGAATTTTGTGTCGGTCTTGATCACATTAAGACCGACTCAATACAATTCTAGTTCTTCGTTCTTGATTCTGGGTTCTTGGTTCTCAAGTCATCATGCCATGTTCCTTCGCCTTAGTTTTGCTCACTTTAGCTTCGATATGTCGCGGCGGTTTGGCATTATCAAAACCTGTCATAAACGAACACAGTTTAGTACAACGTAGGCGTAAACCCGTGTTCCAACACAATCGGTACGGACCTAAATCATTTTGGGTTTGGACCGGACCGGACCGAAACCCGAATGCCAAAATTTTCTGGACCGAAATCCATTCGGTCCGAGTTCGGTCTGGACCTATCGGTCCGGTTCGGTCGGTTTTTTCGGTCTGGACCTAAATGTGAACAGCCCTATCGGGTAGGAGGGAGAGGGGGCTGTCGGGTAGGGGCTGGGGTAGGGGGAGGTAAGGCCGTGGGGTAGGTGAGGGGTAGAGAAGTAGGCTTGGGGCTGTTAGGGGTGCGAGTAGGGGTTTGGCCGTAGACCTAAATGGCCCGGGTTAGGGTTTGGGCTGGTGAACTGTCTGGAGGGCTGCCCGAGGGTGTTCCGTGCATTCGATCCAGAGCTACGACCGCGACCACGACCCCGAGATGAACCGCCACGGTGCTGGGAGTACTGCTTCTGCTGCCCGAAGCCTCCCCCGCCGCTGGAATCTGACCGCCGGCCACCTACGCTGCCATGCCGCCGCGGGCCGCCACTGCCGGCGTAGGACGCCGTGCCACCATCCCCCGTGAAGATAATTATGCTGATTCAAGAACAAATGACTTGAAGACAAAGTCTGGACCCCTCAAATTAAAGAGTCTGTCCAGAATTTCTAAACAAGCACTAGAAGACAAATAGATTAAAGTGCTACAGTCCAGAATTCTTGAACAACAGCTAGAAGACGGATTCTGTGGAAAAAGCAATCCCTCCTTGAAAAACTAATCTTGTTCTAATATTAAAATCTCACTCATGATGTATTATTTTTTTAAATTTCCTCTTATCTTAATTTTAATACTAATTTCCTTTCAAGTTACTAATAAAAATAAGTTTGTTCTTGTAATGTGCATGTTTTCAAGCAGCATATAGAGAATGTTGTTGGCATTGAATACAAAACGGATCTTCTGTTTTTTATGCAAAAGGTTAGGCAAATACAACCTTTTGCTCTTTTTTTATAATATAATGTTTTCTTGTTGTTCACCAATATCATAGTCTATTTTGTTTTGAAGGGAGGCCAACTGCAAAGTCCACATTGATTAGAGATATGGTATACACATGCCGGCATACTTTGTTCCTTGTAATCTCAATTTGATTTAAATCTTATTGATTATAATAATTTTTTACATTTGTCTAGATGGTCAATACTCTGCAAACCTAAAAAGTGTAGTAGTGATTAACTTTTACACTATGTTTGGTTCAAAGCACTTGGAAAGAAAAGAAAAGAAAATGATTTTTTCTCATTTTTCTCACTAAATGGAAGTAATTTGGTTTTCTCACCTCTTTGTACATTTTGCCTTCTTATTTTCCTTTTTTTCTACTTTTCTTTTTTTTCCTTTCAAACAAAACAAGAAAAATGTTTTCCTTCTCAATTTCTCTTCCTTTTCTTCTCAAATTCCTTGAACCAAAGATAGTGTTAATCATACATTTAAAGAAACTAAAAACTCTATCCCTTCTGAAGATGTGTTTTGAACCAAACATAGTGTTACCCAAGGGTTTAAACAAATAACTAATTGATTTGAGAAGCCCTAAGTAATAACTAATCAGTGTAAGTGTTAAGTCTTCACACTGGTTTAAAAAAATATCTATTGGTGCTTAAACCTAAAATTGTACTCACCAATAGCGTTTTAAACCCAAATAGAACCATAGCACTAAAATCTCTTTCTTCCATTTTAAAAGGCATTTTCTCTTCTTTAGGTTTGTTCTTTAGATGTTATTAGGGGATTGTGGTGTATGTCATGAAAGTTAACACATTTTTTAATTAAGAGGAAAATTAAACACAATATCAAACTGTTGTTCAAGGTTTCAGTTGAGACTTGAGATTTGAGATTTTCACATTATATGCTGATTCTTATAAAAGATTTTATTTATTCAGTCGTGAAAGTTAACATTTATTGGTTGAAAAGTTTCTCATCACCAAACACAAAATTCTACATTTCTCTCCAATTTTCTCATTGACATTTTGATCTTTCCTTGAATACTATTGCCTCTCAATCAAAGTACAAATGCTTAAAGATATCTAGATATAAATTTGTAAAGTTATTAGTGTGCATTACTTTCCTTCGAATTTTCTCAAACCTTCTACTGAGATTAGTAAGTGTGGATCCAGTGAATTAGCTAATGTGGATGCGGTGAGTGCTGGGAACAACTACAATTAGAAATTCATATCACTATGCTTTTAGGCTGTTATTGACAAAGGCCTTATTGTTGAGGGAGGATGCACTCTTCACATACATTCTGCATAAGTGGACGCTCAAGGAGAGCCTTGCTAATAACTTGATACATGTGTGTATGAACATGTATGTGTGTGTATGTGTTTACATGAGCACGTGGGGTTAGTTAATTTCTTGATGTGTTTCAGTTTTTAAGCTTACATGTGACTTTTCTAAATCTAGGTACATTATGTTTTTTTCCTTGTACCTTTGTTTTCTTCAATGGAAATTTTCTACTTTTTCTTAGGATAGTACTAAGGTGTTTGTTAACATTATTATCATTGGATAATAAATAGTAACCCTTCTTTTGCTGCAGGGATATGATAACAACCGACCAGAAATACCTGATCCAAAGGCTAAAATAGGTCAGTTTCCTTCTTCTTATCCTCTCCATTTATATTGTTCTAAAGGATCATTATAAGATTTTCTTCTGGCTATTTTTTGCCTAACAAATATTTTACAATTTGAATCCTTAGAATTAATGGGCATTCAAAAAATTTCTTGTATTTTCTTAAATATTTGATATGCCTTTTACAATTAAGTGTTGCAAGAAATAGTAACATGGATGCATATGATAACATTAATTACTACTAAAATGATGAACTTTTTATATTTTTTCTTAGTACTTCATATAAATTAGATGGCTTGCTAGAACTTGACAAGATTTGAAGAAGTGTCCTTAACTCTGACAAGTCATTTTCTTTTCTCGAATAGCCTAGCCTGTTGAATTAGGTGATGAAGAGGATGGAACATGGAGACCACTAACAGTGCCAAATCCTGAATATAAGGGCCATTGGAAGTACATGGTAATCTCTTCCTACAATGTTGAATACCATGACACATGTCCAAAATTATTATGCTCTAAAAGTTTGTCAACCTGTGCATTTTGTGAATGTCACACGAAAATAATTTAGAATCCAAACTACAATTGTAGAAAGCCTAACTAATTCGTACAACAAGCAGTAATTGCATACTAGAAACTTCAAAAGTGTAATTAATTGGTTACTACGGAGTACTAAACAACAGCGTGAATATCATTAATAAATCTCATATACCCAGAAACAATCATAAGTTTTTTTCATTTACGTCGTATACCATGTGATTTGGATTTGATGTTTGATTTGTTATGTTACCAACTTACCATGTTAATGAAAGATCTCGTGAGTTATGTTTAGGCCAATCTGACAATGTGAGTTTGGCGAACAAACAGGAAGAAAAAACAACCAAGTCATTGTTCGCAGTCTGCACTCCACCAACCCATGCAGATGTGGGAGAGAAGAGAAAGAAGAAAGGGGGAGGGGGAAGGGAGAAGACGAAAGAGGAGAGGGAGGAAAAAGAGAAGAAGAGAAAAAGATAGCTCTAGGAGAAAGAGAAAAGAGAAATAATAATAATAATAATAATAATAGTAATAATAATAATAATAGTAATAATAATAATAATAATAATAATAATAATAATAATAATAATAATAATAATAATAATAAGGTGGAGATGTAGATACCAAGGAAAGAGAATGGAGGAAAAAGAACAAGGAGAGAAAGAGAAGAAGAAGAAGAAGAAAATGCAAACTGGGAGAAAAGAACAGATCCAAGAAGAAGAACAAGGGGGAGAGAGAGAGAGAAGAACAAGAACATGAGACAAAAATGAAGGAGAAAAAGGAAGGGGAAGGAAAAAAGAAGGGTAAATGGGTGAGGGGTACTTAGGGTACTTTGTATGTTAAAAATTGAATTGGGAAGATTAAATCCGGACGTGAAAAATGAGAAACGAGAAGAATAAATCAAAACAAGGGGAGTATCAAAATAAGCGTATTCACGTTCTGCTTGAACCTAATATTCTATTTAGGTTCAGTATTTTGATCTAATATTGAAGCTCAATATTGTACCTATTTGAACCTTATATTCTATTCAGGTTTAGTATATTTAGGTTCTATAAATCATGTTCAATATTTTTCTAGATTCTGTTTTAGTTACTAATTTTGGTTCATATATGCTAGGTTTGCTACTTCAATTCCGGTTTAAATCAAATCGTGTCATTGTATTTAGGAGGTATGGAAATGTTTATCCAACAATATGGTGTACATGCTCTCTCTTTTCTTATCTGAACCTAAATTTAGAGAAAAGAACATATTTATAAATATACTTCTCAATGTTTTCCACCACTCCTGATTTTAAGAATCAAGCTTCAATCTAATTATTCAAGGGAAAAAGGTAATGGACTTAGAACAATAGCTTCTGGGAACCAAAGGGTGGGAATTGTATGATGGTTATTAAACAAACTTTTGGAGAACAGAACTAGAGAAGTGTTTCAACACTCATCTACTTTGTACTTATCTATTTCAGTATTATGCTTGAGCTATCAAAATACTCGCAAATTTTAGTTCATCACTACTTGATGTCACAATACCATACCTGATTTGTCGACTTCTTCTCCATCCTTCCATTAAAACTCTGTAGTTCAATTATGAAAGAAGAATTTTGTTTGTATATCTTCTCTCATAGGCTTCAGGAAATTTAAAGGTACTAAAGTTATATGAGCTTTAGCCCATGATTTCTGTCCATAATTTGAAGATAAATGTCTTCGACATCTTGCCAGTGGTGAGGTGAAAACTAATCTTGTGTGTCTATTAAATTTATGCTATACTGTCTCACTTTCGCTTGGATTTGCTCATCTGTGATTCAGTTACAATTGGTTGTTCTTATATGATAGCTGATAGGTGCTTTAGTTTCCATTGTACAGGGCAGATCATTTCTCAGCCCTTCCTCACCCCTTCAATTTGTGTCATTCCTAGCTACCAAGATTTTTTACCCCCACTTAGTCGATTAATGATGTTGTGAGTTCTTCCACGCTTCCTCTACAATACATTGATTTATAGGGTCCTGTATATTGTTAGTTTTCTACCTTATACAGGTTATCTTTTAAGAATGAATGTGTTCAAACTAACATTCTCTTTTTTTTCTTTCAGTGACGACGATAGAGAACGATTTGAGGCCATCGGAGTATTTGGGCTTGGTTGATTATCCAAAGCACACACCAAACATACCGGCCCCTATATTAAATGGAATCACTTTTGTACTCCATTTTCATGATTATATATATTAAATCTATCTTGCCATTTTTGCATAGAAAAAATGAACATGATCATCACGGATTATTATTAGCCATAAATAATAGGCTATGAACTGCTTGATAAAATCAACGTAGCTTTTCAATTCATTCTGAACTGCTATGAGGGATCTCCCTTTTTCCTAGATTTATCACAATATTAAATAATATTAGGAGACACATCCTGGTTGTCATAAAGTCATCTGGAAACATACCCACTGAGATCAACCCAACCAGTGATATTCGCTGATACATCCCTTTGTATGTTGTCCACTTGAATGTTATATTATAGATATTTTCTATGAAAAGGAAATATATTGTAATCTCAAATACGGAGTATATAGCATCGAATTTTATCAAGCTCATTCTTATATAATCTTTGGTAGCTTAATGTTTTCACCATCATTCTCGTCATTATTGTCAACTTCATTTTTCCACGGGCATTGAACAAAAAACAATATGCACCAATTCAACCTAGGCCTGGACACGGTACCGGTACAGTACCGCTACCGGCAACGGTACCGCCGGTACTGCTACCGTCACCGCCGGCGTCACGTATCTCCGGTTCCGGGGAACCGGTACCGGCACCGCCCCCACGGTACCGGTTCCGGTACCCATTTTTCGGTACCGGCACTGGCGGTACCAGTTCCGGTGCCGTTTGTATTTTTTTTTTCCCAGCCTTCGGTCATTAATTATTCAGCTTTCTGCTCAGCCCTCTGTTCTTCAGCTTATGCTCTGCTTCTTGTTCTTCAACCTTCTCCACGGTCCACCAATATATACCAGGTACCGTTTTTTTTGTCCAGCAGTCCAATAAGAAGAGAGAAGATGAATTGAGCCAGAGATGCAGAAGAGGAATTCAGGCTGGGATAAGTCTATTTTTTTCACAAAATCTAATAAAAAAGCAAAAAGAATAAAATAATTTGGGGCTGGCCGATCCGGTACCGGAACCACCGGTCCGGGTACCACAACCGGTACCAGCCGGTCCGGTCACGGTACCGGTACCAAGGGGTGGCGGTACCAGAACCGGTGGTTCTGGAACCAGAACCGTCCCAGAATCGTACCGTGTCCACCCCTAATTCAACCATAATGAATCATACAGAAAAAACATAAAAAACCTTGCATAAAATCTTGATCGGGCACTTGAATTCGCGCAACACGCGTATAAATGTGGAGTGTGTGTGTGTGTGTGTATGTGTGTGTGTGTGTGTGTGTGTGTGTGTGTATATATATATGTATGTATGTATGTATATATATATATATATATATATTATAAAAATAATGATATTTTTATATTTCTTCATTAAAGAATAAATTAATATTGGAAAGTTGGTTCAAGTGTAGATGAATTACAAATAATCTTTTACTTAAATAGCTATTTATTTGAATTTCAATTTTTTGTAGATGAATATAAAAGATTAACAAAAATTTGAAATACTATTTTGTTATCATTCATCTTCTTTTGCTTGTGAAATATAAAGTATAAATTAAACTAAATTTTATAAGAATTTCTTGCATTTAATATATCAATTTTCAATTTTTTATCTTTTTCATTTGAAATGTACTTTCAATTTTTTAAATAAAGAGTTCTGTACATTTCATAGTGTAAACTAGGTACATATATATATATATATGTACATATATATATATATATATATATATATATATATATATATATATATATATATATATATATATATATATATATATATATATATATATATATATATATATATATATATATATATATATATCCATCTCAATATTTACCAAAACCGACACCGGACATCATGCCGAACTAACTAATACTAAACAAAGACCCTTTGAATATTAAACAAATAATTTTATTTGGGATGGAGGGAGTAATATACTTCTGGCGTAAACTACGTTAATACGTACGCTAGTTGCTAGGGTGGGGGTGCACTCGATCAGATCAAATGTGTGCATAATAGGCACACGTTTGGATGAGTTAAGAGGGGGAGTCTACGGTGGAGGTGAAGGGATCAGGTTGGGGGGTGTAGTGGGGGGGGGGGGTTATGGATGGGGTTAGAGGGGTAGCTAAGAACTATCAATTTTTCATTTTAAACATTGGAGGGGTTCCAAATAAGCGAGTGGTATCAGTTGACACTTGATGTCATTCTCAACTGAATCTTTCCGTTATTATTATTCATTTGGATTCACTCAAACTCAAGCTTTATTTCTATAGCTCAGAGGCCTGCACCATAAAATATCAAGTCCAAACCAATCTCATCGTCTCAAATTAAATTTTTTTAAATTTATTTTGAGCTCTCACAAATTAATTTTTCGCTTTCTTTTTTCGAAAAGCTTTTTGTGCCTCACCTTTCTCTTTTTTCCTTTGCACCATTCTCAATCACACAATTTACCTTTTTAAACTATGTACAAAATTAAACTGTAAGTATTACTCTCTCCCTCCAAAAAAAAATTTTCTGATTTGCCTTGGCACGAAGATTAAAAAAGTTAAAAAGTGTAATGACTTTCTATATATTGTTCTTAATGTGATTGAATAAAGTAAGTAATGTAGATAAAAGTGAGAGTATACTACTCCGTAGTATATTTATTAAAATTAAAGTTTATTACCAAAATAACAAACAGGCAATAAATTCTTGAACAATTCAAAAAAAAGTGATAAAAAAATTAATGAACGTAATAACTAATTTAAAAATGAGAGAATATTTTATAGGTGATTTGTTGGGGACGGGTCGGGCACGCAAGCCCATGGTCGAGCAAAGTCGTGGGGCAGAAATAGAATTTCAAGTGAAAAATGCGAGGAATACCCCAATTGTGTACCCCATTTGTCAGGGGCGGAGGAGGGGGGGCTGCCTGGGCAAGTGCCCCCCCGGTGAATTTCCGGCGAAGTAGTATTAGGGTACCTCTTCTCCGATGGTAGGCTTGATGTGCCCCCCCAATTTTTCCGGCAACTCAAGGTGTGGTATCGGGTATGGCGGCTGTGCGGGGAAGAAGAAAGTGTACAGGTACTAATTTGCAATTTCCGAAAAAAGAAGATGAAAGAGCTTAATGCTTAAACGACGTCGTTGCTGTAATTTGTTTTTAAATATTTGAGACTTTAACTCTTTGACCAAATGGACGGCTGTCCATAAGTCCATTCCCCATTTTTTGTTCCAATTTACTTTCTCAAAAACAAATTAAAAAAAATAAACCCACTAACCCATTAAAGGCTAAGCAGTAACCCTGAGTCCCATTCTCTCGTCTAAATTTTTGATGCAAAACCATTCACTTTTGAGTTCTTCTTCTTCAAATCTTCATCTTCTACACGCATCTTGTTCTACAATTCTCGATTACTTTTTCAATTCTTATTCTTCTTCACAGATAAGAGGCTCTCATTATCCAGGTATATTCAATTTCCAATTATTCAATTTAAAGATTTGTTTGTTAATTTTTAAATTTTTAAAAATTGGTAATTTATTTTTGAATACTTTAATTTGTTCCCTTGTTCTAATTTTCAGGCAGATTCATAATTTTTTATTGATATTTAAGTATTTGTTAAATGTTAATGTATATTCATTTTGTTATTTTATTATTTAATTAGGTAATTTTGAGACCTGAGATGGCAAAGAAAAAGAAGTATCTTCTTCTCTAAAGAAAGAAAGTATGATTTCAAATGATGATATTGTTGCTAATCCAGGATTAAGAAAATCAATCAATAGTTATCCGTTGGAAATTAGAGATGTCATAAAGAGAAGATACTTAGGAAAAGGTCTTTGTCGACCATTGGTACATAACTTTCTACAAACTATGACGGACAAAAAAAACGGTTTCAAAGTGTTTGGTTTGATAAGTTTAGGTGGTTAGAGTATAGTGTCGCCAAGAATTAAGGTTATTACTATTATGAAAATTTTTTGTTGTTTTTTAAATGAATTTGTGCCCCTCCATGAAGTCTTTCCTGGCTCCGCCACTGCCATTTGTCCTCCACCCCCTCCTTGTCCATAAAAAAGACAAAAAATTCAAAAAAAATAAATAAATAAAAATAAAATAAAAATGAGTGGTGAAAAAGTGAATGGTGTATATTTTTGGGGACACCTTTACTTAGCGCCTTCTTTTGTTCTCCACCAGATACCCGATCTAGGACGCCCATTCAAAATTCAAAATTTGAATTTCAAATCCCATTTACCGTTATACTCTCTTCTAATCCCCACTTCCCTCACACGAGAGACGCCATCTCTCTCTCTCTCTCTCTCTCTCGCTAGGTCGGCCGTAGGAACTCGCAGGCGCAACAATGGCGAAGAACAAATTGCCGCTACAGTCGAGCAACATCGTCAACACAAACGGCAAGACCATCGAGGAGACCTACCAGAAGAAGACGCAGCTGGAGCACATCCTGCTCCGCCCCGACACTTACATCGGCTCCGTCGAGAAGCACGTCCAGAACCTATGGGTATGGGAGGACGGATCCATGGTCCACCGATCTGTCTCTTATGTTCCCGGCCTCTACAAGATCTTCGATGAAATCCTCGTTAACGCGGCCGACAACAAGCAGCGGGACCCCAAGATGGACTCCTTGAAGGTGGTCATCGATCCCGAGCAGAACCTCATCAGCGTGTACAACAATGGGGACGGTGTGCCGGTGGAGATTCATCAGGAGGAAGGGGTTTATGTTCCGGAGTTGATTTTCGGACACCTGTTGACTAGTAGTAACTACGATGACACTGTGAAGAAGACCACTGGTGGCAGAAATGGATACGGTGCCAAGCTCACCAACATCTTCTCCACAGAGTTCGTGATCGAGACCGCTGATGGCAAGCGGAAGAGGATGTACAAGCAGGTATACTTACTCGTCTGAATCTATGTTCGTGGATTCAATATTTCTGTCATGATATGATTTATTAGGGTTTCTCTACATTGTGATGCTTATTTCTCTCATTCGTGCAGCGTCTATAGGCGTTGATTCAATTTAGCGGGCCATTTCTGTCATGATATGAATTATTAGGGTTTCTCTAGATTGTGATGCTTATTTCTCCCATTCCTGCAGTGTCATACATTTGCATAGTTTGAATTCGTGGCATTCATATATCACGTTAGGGTTTGGGGACATGAATTCGTCAATTTGAAAAATCATTGTAGTTTGTACAAGTGATTGATGAATGTTTGAATTGCGATCGTGGTTTAGGAGTCATTTTAAATTATAGTTCACTTGTGGCTTCATGTACCACATGCTAAAATATTCTGTATGCTCTTAGGTATTTTGCAAGAACATGGGAGAGAAGTCTGAACCAACAATCACAACCTGCAAGGCATCTGAGAATTGGACTAAAGTTACGTTTAAGCCCGACCTGTCAAAATTCAACATGGACCATCTTGAGGATGATGTTGTTGCTTTGATGAAGAAACGGGTGATAGACATGGCAGGATGTCTTGGGAAAACAGTGAAGGTGGAGTTAAATGGGGAGCAGATCCCTGTTAAATCCTTCAAAGATTATTGTGAGCTTTATCTACTATCTTCCAGTGATGAAAGCCCCAAGAGGTTCATTTTTCTGTTGCTGTTAATAATTCTGTTTCTCTATAAATTTGTATTAGTTTAAACGGCTCTCTGAAATTATCATTTTGCAGTGAGTATGTAAGAGTGAATGACAGGTGGGAAGTCTGTGTTAGCTTGCGGGAAGGATTTCAGCAGGTTATAAGAATGAAACATTTCAGCAATCAGGGTACATAATAAAAATTATATGATTCTGAACATTCTTACAATGAACATTTACAGGTCAGCTTTGTCAACGGGATTGCAACTATTAAAGGTGGAACTCACGTGGATTATGTTGCAAACCAGATTGCAAACCATATTGCAGCTCTTGTAAACAGGAAGAACAAAAATGCTAATGCCAAAGCAAATTCTGTGAGGAACTATTTATGGGTATTTGTCAATGCTCTCATTGATAATCCTGCTTTTGATTCCCAAACCAAAGAAACCTTGACTCTTCGTCAAGGCAGTTTTGGCTCTTCCTGTGAACTCCAAACAGATTTTCTAAAGAAAGGTTTGCAATGTTCATTCCATTTTTTGTAATGAAATCATGTTAATCTTCTGGATTTCATTCCATTTTTGTTTGCATACATTTCCAGTGGAGAAGATTGGAATATTGGAAGCAGTTCAATCATGGGCGGATTTTCAACAAAAGAAAGCATTGGCTAAAACTGATGGAAAGAAAACCAAGAGAGTTATTGTCGAAAAGCTGGACGACGCTAATGATGCTGGTGGGAAAGACTCTGAAAAGTGTACCTTGATTTTGACTGAGGGAGATTCAGCTAAGAACCTAGCTGTAAGCACATCGTTGATGCTTTTAAACTTCTCAACTTTTAATTCCCAAATATTTAACTAGCATTATTTTTAGACTGATTTGATTATAATATGATAAAGATCAAGCATCATATGAAGATTGAATTTTGCTACTCTGTTACAGAAGGCAGGTATTACAGTTGTTGGCAGCGATCGCTATGGCGTATTTCCATTGAGAGGCAAGTTACTGAATGTAAGGGAAGCCACTGCCAAACAACTCGAAGAAAACAAAGAAATTAAAGCAATCAAACAGATTCTAGGGCTACAGCACAACAAACAATATGACAGCGTCAAAACACTGAGATATGGTCATTTAATGATAATGACAGACCAGGTACTTGCACTTTAACCATGCAAGTTATCATCAACATACAGTGTTATATGCATATTTTCTAACAGGCTTACTAATGTCTTCTCCAGGACTATGATGGTTCTCACATCAAAGGACTTCTAATTAATTTCATTCATACATTCTGGCCATCGCTCCTAAAAGTCCCTTCCTTCTTAGTGGAGTTCGTTACACCTATTATTAAGGTGTATTTCATGTTTCATGTGTGTGTGTATGCCAGTGTCTAGTTATGTCAGTTTTTTCACTGTTTTTTGCATTTATTCCTATTTTTGTAGGCTAAGAATAAGAACGGGAAGACCCTGGCATTTTATTCTATGCCTGAGTATGAATCATGGAAGAAGAGTTTAGGGGACAATGCACGAGGTTGGTCTATTAAGTACTACAAGGTTTGTGCTAAAGAACAACAAATGAACTTCTCGATCCATGTCTCTACCTTTTTTAAGTGATTTTTATATGCAAGTATGGTGCCCTGGCAGGGGTTGGGAACAAGCACATCACAAGAAGGCAAGGAGTACTTCAGTAACCTTGATAAACACAAGAAAAATTTCCTTTGGGAAGATCAACGAGATGCAGAAGCAATAGAGCTTGCTTTTAGTAAGAAGAAGATTGAAGCAAGGAAGAATTGGCTGAGACAATTTGAGGTTTTGGAGTTACAAGGCTATTTTATAACTTTGCTATTATAAATAAACTATCATTTCACAATCTAACATTTCTTTTTTCTTTTGCAGCCTGGAACTCACCTTGATCATAGTGTAAAAAACGTTAGATATACTGACTTTGTGAACAAGGAGCTTATTCTGTTTTCAATATCTGACCTTCAAAGGTCTATTCCATCAGTGCTTGATGGTCTAAAACCTGGTCAAAGGAAGATCTTGTTCTGTGCTTTTAAGAGAAACTTGATAACAGAAGCAAAGGTTGCTCAATTCTCTGGTTATGTTTCCGAGCACTCTGCTTACCATCATGGTGAAGCAAGCTTGCAGGGTACCATTGTTGGCATGGCTCAGGATTATGTTGGTAGCAATAATATTAATTTTTTCCTTCCAAATGGTCAATTTGGCTCAAGAAGTGCGGTGAGTCAGCAAGATGATACATGCAATTGGCATCATATATAATATGTTTGCCCTTCATTATACAATTTCTATCTGATTCTCTATATAGGGTGGCAAGGACCATGCAAGCCCAAGATACATTTACACTCTACTTTCACCTGTGGCAAGATTTTTGTTTCCCAAAGAGGATGATGCCCTTCTTCACTACCTGAATGAGGATGGCCAATCCATTGAACCCAAATGGTAGGTAGCCGTAAATAACGTAGATGATAATTCGACATTGGTTTCTTTTATTAATTGATGGTCTTAAATTCTTTACAAACTGGACTATAACACGATACTTGGTTAGGCTAATCATTTTACTCACCTTCACCACAGGTATGTGCCTATCATTCCTATGGTACTAGTTAATGGTTGTGAAGGAATTGGGACAGGTTGGAGTTCCTACATCCCCAATTATAATCCAAAGGACATTATTGCAAATGTGAGGCGCCTACTGCTTGATGAACCAATGAAGCCTATGGATCCATGGTATAAAGGTTTTAAAGGAACCATAGAGAAGCTAGCAATCAAAGAAGCAGGAAATACTTACACAGTCACTGGAATCGTGGAGGAGGTTGATGAAACAACTCTAAGGATTACAGAGTTGCCAGTTCGGAGATGGACTGATGATTACAAGCAGTTTCTGTCCTCAATGATGGCTTTAAATGACAAAGTCAAGGATCCTTTCATAAAGGTAATTTCTTCAAACGGTTTTGGTGTTGACTCTTGGGAAAAAACTACTGTTTGCAGTTTTGGAGAATCAATATGCATTGAGATTTTCACTTTTGCAGGAAATGAGGGAGTACCATGATGTGAACACTGTACACTTTGAAATTGAATTATCTGAAGAGAATATGATGTTGGCCAAGGAAGAGGGGTTGATCAAGAGGTTTAAACTAACTAATACAATTAGCACATGCAATATGCACCTTTTTGACCCAAATGGTGTAATAAAGAAATATGAGACACCAGAGCAGAGTAGGTTTTATAGTCAATGGAATTAAATGATACTGAGTCAAAAGTTTTCTCTATATGACATTTGTAAACATAGTACACTAACTGATCTATTTGTTTTCCATCTACTCAATAGTTATTGAGGACTTCTTCAAAGTAAGGATGGAGTTTTATGAGAAAAGGAAGGCAAGTTAATGTGAACCAAAGATTTGTCTCTGTTTCATTCGCTACAATAGCCATCCATCCAACCACACTAACTGTGGAATTTTCATATGTGCAGAGATTTCTCTTGGAAAAGTTTGAAGCAGAGTTGTTGAAACTTGATAACAAGGTCAGGTTTATCCTGGGTGTAGTGAGTGGAGAGATCATTGTGAATAACAGGAAGAGAGCTGAACTGTTTCAAGAGTTGAGGAACAAAGGTTTTACTCCTATTCCAAAGAACACCACAGCTGTGTCTGGATCAAGTGAGGTTGCTGAAGAAGAAAGCGAGGAAAGTGGTAGTCAAGTGGCAGCAGGGGTTAAAGCAGGTGACTATGACTACTTGCTGTCTATGGCAATTGGTAGCCTCACTCATGAGAAGGTCCAAGCGCTGTGTGCGGAGAAGGACAAAATCAACGAAGAGGTTGTACGGATAAGGAATGCTACTCCAAAGTCGCTGTGGATGGACGATCTCGCTGCTCTTGAAAAACAGCTTGATGTAATTGAACCTCAAACTTCTTGTAGATTTATATTTATTATTATCTAAAAATTGTGTCTTCTTTGTCATGTTATCTCTAAAATTGCATGTATGTATTTTCAGGAGCAAGACAAGGCTGACAACACCACGGAGGCAAACAACCAGGAGAGGAAAAAAGTGGCGGGCAGTGAGAGAAAGCCACCTGCTAGAAAACCGCAGGCTAAGAAGGCTGCCAAAGAAGCTGCTGCTGCTGAACCCATGGAGGTAGAAGATGGTTCTGCAATGGACACAGACAAGGGGGTTACTGAGACTGTGAAACCAAAAGGCAGAGGCGGCGGTTCCAAGAAAGCTGCAGCAGCTGCTAAGAAGGGAAAAGAATCGTCATCCCTTGTGCAAATAGATGAAGAAGACGAAGATGATGAGATTCAAGATCTGAAAGACAGGCTTGCAGCTTACAATCTTGACTCATCTCCCGATCTGTCAGAAGCCGGGAAAGCCCAAGTCCCCAAAGTCCAGCGGAAAGAACCCAGCAAGAGATCAAAGAAGCCGCCGCCACCTAAAGTGTCTGAGATCAATAACCTCAGTGATGATGATGATGATGATGATTACAACCTGGACAACAACGAAGAAGCAGAGAAACGGAAGAAGGTGGGGAAGAAAGCCACAGCAGCAAATGCTAAAGCTCCAGCAGCTGCTGCAGCAAAGAAGAGGGGACCAGCTGCAAGATCGCAGGTGACGGGGCAGAAACTGATCACGGAGGTTCTGAAGCCGTCTTCGCCTGACAAAAAGGTGAGGAAGATGAGGGCATCTCCGTTCAACAAGAAAAGTGGGTCTGTGCTTGCTGGAGGAGGAGGAGGAATCACCAGTGTGTATGATGATGGTGATGATGATGAACAGCCGGCGAGTGGCGGCGGCACAGAAGAGGTGGCTAACTTTGTGGCGGCTGCAAGGAGGAGCAGCAGGCCTCAGCGTGTAGCTCGCGCGAAGGCAACTTACGTCATCAGCGATTCGGATGAAGATGATGAAGAAGATGAGAGTGATCCTGAAGAGGTCATTGAAGTGGATGATGACTTTGAAGATGATGACTGAATCTGAGAAACTCTCTCCCTGTTATTATTAGCTTTAATAACGTTCCTTCTTCAGGTGTCAAACTACGTGTTTGTTAATAGGTGGTAATGATGAAGATCTTCGGAACGAAAAATAGCAATGACAGATTTGCTATTCTTGGTGACACATATAGATTGTTCTTGCATATATATTTTTTGTTCGTGTGTTTGTGAGATACTATCAATACAAATATGGACATGTGGTGTGCGAAGTACACAATAAAAGAAGACAATTAAATTTGTCCCATAAAAACAAAGTGGTGGGATAAATGTGGCAATGAACTTACAGTACTAAAGCAAGAAAGTGGACAACTCCTAATAGCACACATAAGGAGCCTATTTCAAATCCCTTAAAAGACTTTTTTAACCTGCACACATGACATGAAAAATCAGGGTTAAGTACTAACCATAAACACCTCTTTAGTTAGCGTGTCATGTAGAAAGGTGGTGTTTACATCCAATTGTTAAACATGCTAACAATGTGAGGAATTTGAGCCAGACGTGAGTGAGAATAATCAATAGGTTGAGCTATAGTTAAATAGAGACCCGCGGAGGACGGAGGTGAAGAGACTGTTCATGAGGTAAACCGTAGCGACAACAAGGGAGGGAGACGAGCCAATTTCAACAATGTGATGGTGATACCGCTCTGTAGCGTCGTTATGTTCTTGGGTGTGGGGAGGGGTGGTGATGTGAGAGAGGCCATATTTGTTAAGGAGCTATTTGTTAGATTTGTGACCAAGCAGCCATTACCTAGGAATGAGAAAAGGTCATCTACACCCCATAAATGAAAAAAGATTATCTTAGTGTAGTGAGTATGATTGTATGAATAAGTTAATATAGGGGTGCTTATAGACTTATTACTGATAAGTAGTTTTTAATTTATAAGTTGCTTATAAGTCAGATATTCTTTAATGAAAGTAAAATGAGATAAATAATAAATAAGTCATTTGGAAATATTCATGAACAGTGAGGTGCAATTTTGTAAATAATCTGGTCAAAACGAAGAAACAAAAACTAGCTAAAAATAAGTAATTCAGACATACTTATTTTTTATGGCTTATAAGTAACTTATAAATCCGCTTATAAGCACACAGAAACATGTCTTCAGCTGACTTATAAGTTAAAAACTGTTTATAAGCACAGAGAAACATGCACATAGTGAATGACAGTGTAGTATAGGTAGTCGTGTCAAATTTAGTGCATGTTCTCTTAACTTATCTCATTAATTCTGATCTGATTCGATTAAGTTCTGATATGATTCCAATAAGAATAAGTTGAAGAGAACAAACTCTTAGTCATATTTTGGCGACATTAAGTTCGGATACCTAAGGTATTATTATCTTTTCTAATCTTATTTCAATCCATTTTCCTTGTTCTTGTTGAGAGAATATCAATAGCCCATCCGTTTCACAAAATAATTCTACTTTAACATTTTAATTATTCTCATAAAACATTTTTACTTTCCATAAAAAAGTTTACTTTATCCATACTAACAAAATATACACTCCTTAAATATAATAAAAGTAAAAAAAAACGAACTCTTTTGTGAAATGGAAGGTGTGTTTAAACGTTGTATAAACATTATGTTGATTGTTTAATCTGAAAAGATTTTTGTTTTTTATTATTTGAGAAGGCTTCCATGTGAAATATTTTGTGTTGATTATAAATGTTTTATCTGTCTATGCATTTTGTTTTTTCCAAAACAATTTTTTTAAGTGTGTTGCGTTATTGTTCGATAGTTTTTCCCAACTGTTTTGAAGGTTAAAATTTAAAATAAAAAAATAATAAAACGGAGAAGAAAGACTTTGGACAATGTTAGACTAAGGAGCAAGACAGAGTTCGGGACAGCGCACCCAAAATTTTTGTTAAGACTTTGAAATAAATTATCGACAATGAAATTTGAAAATTTGAAATAATGAACGGATAATTTCGTCTATTTCTCACCGTCTAGCCTTTGACCACTTGCCCTCGCGAGCAGTGTTTTGAAGACCGGACCGGACCGGCCGGTCCAACCGGTCGACCCGCGAATCGGCAGCATATCCGGTCCGGTTCACTCAAGAATCCCGGTTCCCCTTAAACCCGTCGGACCCGGTGAACCGGGTAATCCGGGTCGACCCATCCGATTCCCGGGTTTGGGCTTAAATCAATATTTTATTATATTTTCCAACATAAAAATTGAAAATGGTAGGCTGGAATTCGCACCCAACACATCCTGTATATTGGTTCTAGTTATCAACCAAGTGAGCTACTCAATCTTTGTTCAAAATCAAGGTATCAATCATATCTATTTATGGTTTTACAAAAGGTTCATACATTATAGAAATATACGGAGTAGTTTTTTTGTGCAAGTGTGAAATTGTATTTATGAACTTTTAAAATAGTTTTAAAAAATGAGAATTATTCAATTTTTATTTGAAAATAAATATACTATGTATATTTTATAATTAAAAAAATTGTTGTCTTTAAAAATCAAGTAATATTTATTAATTATAATTTAATATGCTATATTTTTTATTTTTCAATTATTTTAATCAACTAAATATTAATTTTAAAATGTCATATGTATATAAAAATAAAATGTATAGTCCTTAATTTTTGAAAATATGAGTATCCCCTTATTATTTAAGTATTTGTTAGAGATTCAATATTAACTTTTGATAATAATAAAAATAATAAAATAAAAATAGAAGGTGTGAAATAACATATGTACAAGGATATTACAAAATACATGGAGAAATAAAAACATAAATTAAAATATTTTATTGACTAAATATATCTAATATATTATAAAATATTATTATTATAAATATAGTTGACCGGGTCGTTGACCCCCGGTTAGACCGGTCAACCCTTGACCCACTACCTCATCCGAGTCAACGTCCGGTCCGGTTTTCAAAACATTGCTTACGAGTGGCGTAGAACCTCATGCGGATGAGAATCAGAGATATTGGGCTAGACTATATTTGGACTGATTATTGGGAAGGGGAATACATTTTGGGTTGTTTTTGGGAGTTTTGGGCAATTGGGCTAGACTTTACTTGCACTGAGGCACTTATTTTAATGGACTGAGGCAGTTTTTAAATCGGACTGGGGGGCAATTTTTAAATTGGACGGGGCCTAACTAGAAAAACAAAAAATTACGGAGTACAAATTTTTTTTTTTGACTGCCTCCACATTCATCAATGTAGATCTGCCCATGAGGTACATCATAAATTCATTTTGAGTGTCTGTGTATCTGTTTTTGCGTAGTGTACAAATAAGATACCCTATTTTAATGTACCTCTAGCATTGCCCTTTCTTTTATGTGATCTTGTTTATATTTTTATATGCTACTCTATAATGCAATCCCTCTAAAGAATGCACATTTAAACTTGCTCATTTCACTTTGCATACTCATTTCAGATATATTGTCCCAATCCTTTGCATCCTCATGTTTTCTGACGGTGCATTCTCATGTGCTTTATGTACAATGATACATCCAAAAAACTCACTTAGAAAATATTTGTACCAGTTCTTTGCATTCTCATATGCTCAAAGTACAATGATACGTCCAAATATATTGTACACGTACACACTTGGAAGATAATTTTCCCAATTCGTTGCATTCGCATATGCTTAATGTACAATGATTCATCCGCATATATTATACACGTACTCACTTAGAATATAATTGTCCAAGTCACGTAATTATACACATTTATTTAATCACAAGTATGTGGTTTATGTAACACTAAATGCTGCCATTTTCCCTGCGCACTAAAAACTTCTTCAATAATCTCAGCATCACAAAGCCTTTAGGCAAACAACATACATAAGAGATGGATTGCGAAGTGGACAGAACGAATTCCCAAAAAATGATAGAAATACCTGTGCTTCGAAGTAAATTGACTGAATATACAGATTTAGCTTCCAACAGCCTTGAGGAAATTATCGTATGGACTTGCAGCTGGCAGAACAAGGTAGCTGGGATGGTGCTGGTATTCAGCTCCGCACGAAATTAGAGCAGTGTTCATTGAAGGCTCCGAGGCAATGGTGTCGCAAAATGGATTGATGTTTGCCTGTGCAGAAAGCAGCATAAGAGGTTTGCAACATGTAGGTGTTTAAAGGGCATCTCTACGAAGTTTGTATGAATGTATAATAGTTTACCAATGACTGTATTGCCTAAAAGTGCATAAGCATGTGAATATGCTCTTGAGCTACTCAAGATCGGCTCGGTAAGTACTCGAATTTGATTAGATAACAATGGTGCCGAGCCCAAGCTCAAGTAACCAACAAACCAAATTTGAGTATTTTACTACTCAACTTGTGCTGCTCACAAGCTTAATCAAGCTTATTCATCATAAATATATATATTCAAAAAATTATTTATTACTACATATATATTTTACAAACACAATACACACACATAGAAGTTCAAATATATTCACTTTTCATTTGTCAAAAGTCAGTGAACCAATGTGTCCATTTTGTTAGCACAGGTTCCCGGTTTAATGTTTGAGCCCATGGAGTGGATATTAGGATGTACTTGTTTACGATTTGATTTAATTATAGCAGGATTAATTTTCAAGGGAAAAACACACATGTTATGAAATCATAAATCTATTTTGGATGTAGAGTATATTCTGAGTCGAGCTTCAATACGCTTGAAACCAGTCCTGGCAGTCCAGCTCGGGTTTAGGTAGTAAAGTTTTGTGAAGGCGAGCGTCCATCTGTAACTATTTGCGTGACTTTTTCCCATGAACTGTTCCCCATGATCCCCATGAACTGTTATGATAATAAATCAATATTTCAAAAAGGTTCTAGAGAATTTAAGAAGCCGGTAGGCATGCATAGAATTCTCTAGAATGTTTTGGAATTATCTAACAAGGTGTTGAACTCTTTGGAACTTTGTAGAAGAACGTGGAACTATAGAATATTCAAGAGCTTTCTAGAGAAGTGCGGAAATCTCCAAAAGTGTGTGGGAGGATGTGACATACTGACATCCTCTCGAATACTCAAGAGACATGTGGGGTCCTCTATGGAAAATTCTACAAAAGTCTAATCTTGGTGATGAGTATAAATATATGGGATCTCATTAGAACTTAATCCAAAAAGGCTTCTTGAGAGTGATTGTAGGAGAAGTGATCCTAATACAAAAAGTAAGAGGAGCTAATTGTATCATGTGAAAATTGCACTAAATAGTATTAAAACATATGTCATTTCCAAATATAGTACCTAAGACTTTTTAAACCCTAAATAGTACTTACTTATAATACCTACACCCCTATATTGAAGGAGAGCTATGGCGGTATGGGCG